TTCCAAGGCAACATTGCGCCCCCTGACAGGCGGTCTGATCGAATAGTCTGTTTTAAAGGCGGATTAGGCCCGTGTCTCTGGAGCTTGGCTGACTGATACAGCGTTAATCCGCGGGACTGAACGGACGCTCACCCCACTTCTACCGTTCCTGAATAGGATCCCGTTGAGAAGAGAGTTTGCCAGATGTTAGCTTTGTTGCAAAAACCTCGCACATTCAGTGTGGGCGCATTAGGCTGCTGCCACTCAACAAGGGTATTCGAAACCGGTGTTGCGCCTCAAGAGCGGTCTTGAGAGCGGATTGAAGTGGTACGGAATATGGTTTACCCACTTACCAAGAATACAAAAGTAGCATTAACAATAAATGCGGAATTTAGTGCAATTTGTCTCTGATTGGAGACAGCTGGTCGGTGTAAAATCCCTCCCCTACGCCACCGTATTCTCATCCCTTCTCTTATCACACCCACCGTCATTGAGCCCAGCACACTACCCAAGCACACATACCATTGAGGCAGCTCGTCGACGCCAAACTGTCCCCATGGACTGTGTCCATGGCCATTTTCCCGTCCATTAATCATGACCGGCAGACAGGGCCGCTGTCGACGCCTGTGTACGGCGGTCCCCTGGTCCGCTTTGTCCATAGACTGTATCAGACTGGCGTCGTCGCCGACGCCTTATCCAATCTTCGTAACGACGCCGATTGCCTGGGTTCAGCGCGGCAGGCATAAAGCCAACGTCAGCCACGGAGCCAATTCGGTGTCGGCCGCCATGCGCGCATGACGCATGAGATGAGCGCGGGCAGAGGCTAGAGGGGAGAGAGAGAGGGGGAGAGGGGCGGCAGGGAGGGAGGGAGTGATAGAGGAGAAAAGGAAGGATAGAAGGAGAGTGAGAGAGAAGAGTGAAAGAGGAACCTGTTTGCAATTTACTGCTCATTATTTGCTGTTTTATCGTGACTTAATGATGGTAGCACGTTGCTTAGTAGGAATAAAAACTTATCAAAATGTTTTACAAAATCCATATTTCATTTGTCAAATCCAAACACCGGTACCACAGTTTCCTGTACAAGGCCGATGCCATGTCACACTTCCCCTAGCTCAGGTTTTAGGAATACTTATGATAGAGTATGTATAACAGTCATGTCTGTAAACGTCGTCTGTGTTCAGTGAATTAAACAACGGCCACAAACAAACATGGCAAAGGCTACAAGACAGTTACATCCCAGCTATTGATTGCTGTAAGTGGAATATCCCCAGCACATAGTACGGAACTACTAAATGTTGATTTAGCTCCTAACAGATTCCAAGCAAACGCACCATAACACTCCATTATATGTGTCCCAAAATGTTAGACCCCGTTGGCACACCCGAGGAGCGAACGCTCGAAAACCTCCTAGTCAGCTGATGGCTCACGTAGTATATAGTTAGTTACAGTTAGTTATAGTTATAGTTAGTTTTCTATACCAAGATTTAAAAAACATATGCTGCTACTCCGGGCCAGCAATGGCTCTTTTCTGGAGATTCCCCGGCTGGAACTCTACGGAGTGCAGTTTTTACCGTTCTTGTGCTTACGTAAGATGTAATGTGTCTTGCACCGTTAGGAAATGAAACTGGGACACCCATGGTAATCTAGTAGAGGTTAAGAAAACATTGCGGTCGTAGCAAGAGACAATTACCGTTCGCCCTACCCATTGTGCCTCTCCGAAACTCTACCAGTGCGTCGTTGTGTTCTTTCACTGCTGCTGCTAAACCCAACCATGGGCGATGTTTCGACAACAAAATTGAATGAAATGAAAGTCTTCTTCGCTAATGAAATTTAATGCACACGTAAAATGCTGGTGCTGCTCAGGAACGTAAAACTAAAATGCTCTTTAAGTGTCTCTTTCTACGAATACACATCTCTAGAGGTCTATGAACCCAACCAAATTACCGATGTTTGACCACATTAAATGTCATTTGACTTATAGCTGTTACAGGCCCGACCAATTGCTTCACCGATTTGTTTTATTGTTCATACGACCGGCATATCATATATCCCACACCTTTTCCTGGAGAATATCCTGCATTTACCAATCAATAATCAACACGACGTAGTGTATCCTTGTGCCAATACACCGAGCCTGGTCATCAGCTGGTCTGCCAATATCAGCGACAATGCAGCGCCTACGGGAGACCTCCGGTGGGAGCACACCCTTTCTCTGGCTGTCGGGTCAAGGTCGGCTGTGCCCGCGGGCAGAAGATGACCTCGTTCCCCGCCGGATGGGAGGGTGTGTCTATGCCAGACGGTCAGACAGACGGCTTGGGCAGGCACCAGGGAGGGGTGTGGGAAACAGTTAAGACCTGTCTATATTAAACAGTTCAGACATGCGAAGGCTAGTTACCAGAGCGGAGAGGATCGTTATTCCGACAAGACTGTCTTCTCAGTTTGTACCAAAGTGAGACGGCAGGGCCCTCCCCCACCGGAGAAGTGGGGAGGGCATGGGAATAACCCAGACCTATATCTGCCAATACAGCAGACTGGACAGAACGGCAGAAGTGCCAGTTCCCGAGAAGAGCCGTCCAGGCCTGTCTATATCACATTGGGAAGACGGACAACGGGACCAGACCCAGAGCGGGATGGGGGACCGTCCAGACCTGTCTATATCACACGGGGCGCAGACAGGCGGCGTGGCCAGGCACCTGGTGGTACCATTGATTTCCCGTTACGGATAGTGGTGCCGGCCGGCCGGCCAGCCCGACAGATGAAAGACTGCCGACTGACCAGCCGGCCGGGCGGTCGGTCCAGGCTGGGTGGAAGATAGACGGCCGATCGGTCGAACCAAGCTAGGTGCCAGATCAGAGCCCTCAGTAGGCTGGCTAAAATAGTGAATCATGTGTTTCTGTAATAAATAATGTTGATTAATGCAGAACTATGTATCCCGAGACAGCGTTAATTAGCACATTTGACCATGACCGAATCACACAATGAAATTGAACCACATTCCGCACAAGCTAAATTTGACTTGACAAAGGTTTGCCCGCCGTGGTCAAATCATCCTCGCCCTACCGACTCGCAGTTTCGCTGACTGACAGACGCAATAGACTACAAACGGGGTGATTCACGCAGCTGAATTGGCCACCCAGAGCCACTAACTGACATCGTGACAGGCGTTCGCGAGCTTCTGAAGTAGCACGCAACTGCTCCATGAGAGGTTTACTGTAAGTGATTCGAAATTTGATGGATTTTTATGTGTGGGTGTGTCAATTTTTGCGGGAGGGTACAAATTTCTTTGTGTTTTCCAAAACAGTTGGGACTTGGGAGCAACCATAGATGACATACATAGATAATGTTATTTATGGAGTAAGATAATCCAGCACTTACAGCACCATCAGAAAATCCTATTTGAAATATGTAAGCAGAGATCAAGAGCTGTGAGCACTAAAGCAACGAAAAGTATGGAGGCCAGGAGTCTTCAGAATTTAACTATTGCATAACCCACCCCAGGACAAATACTGCTACAGTTGACAACGGGTTGTCGCCTTACGTGTAAAACCCTTACCTACAGGCTTCTCAAGGTTTAGAGCTTCAAATGCACGGCGTGTAATGTATAAGCGCTGAGACGGAAGCCTGCGTGACACCGCTGGGGCAAGGCTTTATGTTGGAGTGATTAACACTTGGGCGACATGGAAGTCGGTTTGCTGGGGGGCGGAAGCGGTCGGCTGTTCTCAAAGGGAAGTGTAGAGGTCAAGTGGAGTCCAACGCAGCTGCAAAGGCGCTCTGTGGGTCACCATGTCAGTATTCAGTTGTATGACAGCTGTTGTAGAACTGGAATGGGTACTCTGTGACCTGAATTGACTTTTGTTTCTCATCAGAAGTGGTGAGACTGCTTGATCTAAAATAGATCCTCAGATTTCCTGCAAATTGAGGTGATAAAAAACTGGTAGCCAGTGAAATATTAATGACGTATTCGTATCGCAATCCCAATTACTTTTCTTCAGTTTCACCAAGAGTTAACCTTAAATCATAATAATCCAATCATAATAATTCAATCAAGGCTAAGCGTTAAGCATTCTAATATTTCTCTTTGTCTTCGTTGTCAAGGTTATACTTCAATCACGAGCTATCTGGCGTTCTAAACGTTACACTGCTATAGTAGTGAAGCAAGGGACAAAATCGTTAGATGTGTTGCGTGAGGTGATAGGGTATCACGCACTGGCGAGGTTAAATGGGTTCACCATCGCTTTGTTTAACTTCACCAGGCAAATCAACACTGCTAAATAATCCAGGCAGCCAATTTGAACAGTGTTGGAGCAGGTACAGACTGCACATCAATAACTCCCGCACCAACATCGATCTATGGATTGCGGAGCGGCGACGCGGCGCGCGGGGCTTTGGGAAGCCTCTCGGCCTGCTGCCACCTTCCGGGGTTTGATTAGGCACCGGTCTGTCAGACTGACACGGGTGGCAGTCTGGCACACCGTCAAAAAACGTCACTCGTGGGTCTGTCACAACGTTTAAAACCATTACAAACGGGTCTGCCATGCCGGTGTAATGACTTGGGCACAGAGCGGGTGGGATCAGCCTGGAGATAACTGGAGCTGTATCCGAATTACGGACTCAGCAAAACAGTGAAAATGTGGTCGGGGGTTTAGGAATATTTTAGTGGTTTTCCCGAGGCCATTATTGATAAGTATTCATTTAAGTATTACTTCGTTCATCGAGATGTGTCGCTTTCTCTGAAACTTTCAGGTTACGCAACATTAGTAATTGTTCATAAATTATTGACGACTTTTTTCAGTGTCAATGCGTGTCAAATGATAATTTGGAGAAGTTTGACTTTGCGATAACAAAACGATTATCAAACTCAGAGACCTCCAGCCAATAGCTGGCTGTTTGGTGATCCCTTCTGACTGCGTGAATGCATTATTTAACATCTACAACTGTCAACAACGCATAGCGTGAGCGGGCTCGACGTCCGGCTTTAGAACTAGCCGTCGCATGTGGCACCTGGATACTGGACAACTCACCTGCCATAACGCATAGCAGAAGAAGGAACCCGACGAGCTCCATCGTAACCAGTCCGAACCGTCGGCCCAGCCTGTTCCCCATCGCGCTGGAGGCACGTCCATCGGCCATCACTTGATATCACGAGTCACGGCTGGTGCGTCATTAAACTCGTGCACCATAATCACCAATAGAGATGTGATAGCACAGCGGCACTTCCACGACACCAACGCAGTGACACCAGTGTAGTGAAACCACCTTGAAGTCACAGAAATAACTTAGATGTCACTATGCGAGTTGAGGCGAATGGCCCCTCATTTCACTCAAGGACTTCACTGTCGCAATGTCTCAATGGTGAGCTTTTCAGTGATCGTAGTTCAAAGAAGACATTCGCAACATGGGATGGTGTCCGCCCAGTGACTTCGGAATCAGTGTGCGTCTGATGGGACCTTGGACAACACGTTCAGTGATGTCGGCATCAGTTGATATCTTCCTTGATCGGCGGAGTTCGGAGAAAACTGGATGTCGGCTGACTTCTTCTCAGTGTCAGTCAGGTTGATTGTTCAGGTTTGCCATCACATTAGCTGGTATGTGATGCGTCTCAAATGAAGCCCGTTTACTCTGAAATAGAGGAAAAGAGTTTCAGGTTCAAGTCGGTGGCAACTATTCAAACAAACAAGCTGCCCCGCTAACCGCGATGTAACTACTAACTTTCAGTCGTTTTCAGTCGTTTCCAGTGTCAACACATTCCTCCCCATGATCTACAGTGTCGCTGTCCCATTAAAGCTACCATCATCTGTGGCCAGATTTCAGCGTTTTACAGCGCTGTAATCACAGTCAGCTGATCGACTATTAATCTGTTACCGGGAGCGTCCCTCTGAGGCCGTTCCACAGCCGTTCGCCGACCCGGTACACATTTCCCAGGGGTGTAGATCAATTATGTATGCACTCTGTCTGACACGGGCTAGTGGCTGGATCGGTTGGAAAGAGGCTGGGGTGTGTAGGATCAAATATCAGGCACGGTGACCAATTTGGACATGAGATAGAGAGAGAGAGATGGAGAGAGAGAGAGAGAGAGAGAGAGAGAGAGAGAGAGAGAGAGAGAGAGATTAGAGGAGGTTTACTGAGAAAGTGACAGGTGACAATCTGTCACTGAAATGGGGTGAATTTCCATGTTTGGCACGCTTGACAGACCTGTCATCACGTGTCGTCATCGGAATAGTCATCTTTATCAGTCATCTATCGCTCTGCTGGCATTGGTCTGTGACAGGTAGTAAGTATCCTGTCACCTAGATGGCCGATGGGGTGAACTGTCACAATCTGTCATCAGTCACCTCTGACGGGTGGTGGATGCCATGAAGTGTTAGGTTTCTTACGTCATCTCTGGCAGATAACAAAAATAATTTGAAATTGAAATAAAACGTCATTTTGTGGAATCAGCATCACCTTGCCACAGTGATTGGACGGGCATTACAAGAGGCACACAATTGAAAGCAAGCAAAGTGTTTTAATGTGCATGATCATTGAGTGCCAGAAAATATGTCAATGTTTCTGTCTGAACGGAGCATTTCCATGAAAACGAAAGCTTCAAATTGCTTGGCGAGAAACACATTTGTTGCCATTTTCCGTCATTAGCCCCCGGCATTGGAAAACTGAGGGCTGCTGTATTGCCAAGTTACATAACACGTTTCAAGGCGGAGTCTATTGACCAAGTTGAAAGGTTTCTCGTAGAAAAAAAAATAGATAGACTCATGTGAGAAACCCAGTAAAGAGTACAAGAAAAATGCATAATATGCAACTTTGATGCACATGATAGCGATAAGTGAGAGTAAATGACGATTTCAACTATCAATTTTTCCAGAGCACTCTCCGCAATGGCAAATCCCTCAAGCCTTAATAAATCATCTTATGACGCTGGAACAACCTTTCATTTGTCTTTTATACGCAGCAAGTAATTTCAGTGAAACTCTCATTGATCAATTTCGTTTGGCAGCTGTCCATCCTTGAGAAAATCGACACAGCTAGCACATGTTCGGTGGCCAAGATACAGCGCCACCAAATCCTCCGAGTGCTCAATTCGAGCCGTGATTGGCACGCCCGTGCTCTCGGTCCCAGGAGATCGCTTTCTGTTCTGAGGACGGGAACACACGGTGTGGTCGGAGCGATAGCTGTCGAAAAGAGCTGCGGATGGTGCGTAAGGCTAGAGCTGACGACGGATCTTGGCTTCAGTGTGGGTCATAGGACACAGGCCCAGCGAGCGTCAACCAGTATCAGTGAGCACTGGGTGCTGAGAGAGAGAGAGAGAGAGAGAGAGAGAGAGAGAGAGAGAGAGAGAGAGAGAGGAAAAGAGAGAGAGAGAGAGAGAGAGGAAAAAGAGAGAGAGAGAGAGAGAGAGAGAGAGAGAGAGAGAGAGAGACCCCTTAGCTCCGACAGACCCATCAAAACCGATGCGGCCTCCAACAAATACATTTTCCCAGTGAACGCAGGCAGAATTTAAGCCAAGTAAGTGCTAACCAGACCTTTCCCCTTACTCCAAAGATAGGTACTTTGGTTTATTCTTTCATTGTAAAACTTAAGAGGCTTTTGAGGAGACATTCATGTTCTGAGGAAATATATAGGTAACGACTAACGATGGTAAGCTAACAATTAACATTATTTGTAAACAATTATTGTGTTCGTGATTGAGCTACTCCTTGTTTAAATGGTTCTACGGCACAATCACAATATCATTGAATCTACCTGGGTTTCTATTTCATTACGTCAAACTAACTAAGAGTTCACCGGAGTTATGATAAATTAAAAAGGCTAAATGATGGTAAAAAAGTCATCAGATATTCCTTCAGTGTTCACAACACACTATATAGTAAATACAAAAGTATGTATATCGCTACTTGCGTGATCTGCTGACATCTGTAAATGTCTTTATTAGATACCCCCAATGTTTAATTTCAATTAGCAATAAGGCTTTCACTTTTATATTTAGTTTTCAATCTGCTCACTGCTCATAAGCCAACAGCAATCGCAAAGCCTCCTGATTTTCGCACGCTGCAGAGCCTGTAAATGAGAAAACTGATTAGTCCCAACTTAGATGTGATTTCTGACTCGGTGTAATTGTGTCATGTCATTCCAATTGCCAGCTCCGACTAATCATGTCCCAGCTCATTAAACCGACTGAGACTGCTCCTCCGTTGCTAGTTTGTGCTGGTCAAGATGCTCTCAACGCCTGGGAAGATTGACAGTCTAATGGCATTGGTGATGTTTCAACAGAGACCCGAGACCGATCTAACAGGTCTCCAAGAATAGTTTTGGAGATCCAATTGGGGGAAAGGTGCGACAATCGCGAAGCGGGCTAATTTGGCATGAAAATCTGGATAACCGCAGGTTGGTTTGAAATAGACAAACACTATTCGTTAGTATGATACTGCTCGGTTTTGTTAGACGATTGTCACTTGCAGACCTATTATAAATGCTTCGTGCGTGTCATCGTAGTCAGCAACTTTTTTCTTAAAAGCTACTAGGGAAATTTTAGTGTTATCAAAAGGACGCCTTCAAGGAAAAATGACACAAAAACGCACTTAAACCTGAGAAAGTGATATCTATATCATAATATGTCGAGCAAACAGCAATCGCTAAGAACGCAAAACTCGGATAGATATTGAAATAAGTTTATCCAAAAATGGCCGATAGCTAAGAGTATTGGTGAATAGCGCACGAATAGTCTGAAATTCATAGGTTCAAGGACAGCGGAAAATCTAGAAGTTTCTCATAAATCTACTGCTCTCAAAATCATGTCATCGTTAGGGTTTCATCGTTTGCAATTTGCATCACCATCAACACTGCTGTGGGTATATATTGCACGCTCGTATGCACCTCCGTATACCGCTGCCATTAAATGCACAAAAGATAAACTCTAGCGGCCGTAAGCCCCTCTACAGCTGTGAAACATGCTAAAGCCAAGTTAACCCGCGCCCGGCTGGGGGTCCTGGATTTCCACGCCCTGCTGGGGGGGGGGGTGTCTGAACACCCCCCCTGCTAACTCGGCTCCTGGGCCACGTAGCGATACGCGGAAGGCGGCGTTCGAAAGAGCGCCAAAAATAATGACGAAATCACTTCGGTCAATTTTTTGGTCAGGTCAAAGGTCAGGTCACCAGAGGTCATTGAAGGCAAAATTTTGCCGATTTCCAGGTCGAATGTCGACAATTTCCAAGAAGCCAACGCATAACTCGGGAACCAATAGAGCTACAGCGCCGCGGAAAAGCGCATTCGATAGCCCTATTAACGCCCTTTCTGAATAATTCTCTCAGATTTGACCTAACGTCAACGGTTTTGCCTGCAGGGGGCAAAAACTGCAAAAATAGCTGATTTTTTCGAAAACAGTTTTTCTGCAATAACTTTTGACCCAAGCCTTGTACGAGCTTACTTTTACCGGCATCGTGTTCCTCTCGTCAAGACGCATCGAATGAACTATAACTTGACCTTGAAAGGTCAACTTGAAAATTTGACCTCAGGTCAAGGTCATGACCTGACCGGAAAGGGTCATGTTGCATATCAGTCGATCCGTATCGTCGAGCTGAACACACCTAAGGCGTTTTCATCGCTCTAGCATGCCGCTATCAAAAGTTATTTGCGAAAAACTGTTAGATACCATTCAAGTTCAAGTTCAAGTTCAAGTTCGGTGTATTGAGGACATTTCCACATAGTGGCTTAATATTTAGTCCGAGTCAGAGTACATAGATAAAAACATGACACAGTCAAAATCACAGTAAATCACAATCGAGAGATAGGTATATAAAAACACGGTCCAAAGTCGGACAAACCAGACCCTCGACTAATTCGACAGCCGGCGCAGAAACTCGGTGCGGGTTGCAGAGCCGGTGACAGCCGGCGACAGGCGGTTCCACGCCGCGGCCGCTCGGTAAGAAAACGCGCGGCGCGACGCGGACAGGCGGTATGGAGGCAGCTCGAGAGCGCCCGCCTCAGTCGACCGGGTGCTGCGCCGGGAAACCGCTGTACGAGGGACGAACAGGGAGCGGATCGCCGCGGGAGCGTGCGGGTCCCTCAGCGCCCTGTAGACGCCGAGGCAGTCACGGCGCTCAACCAGCTCGCGCACGTCACACCAGCCCAGCGCAGCTAGGATCGGCGATATATGGTCATGCCTGCGCACGCCAGAGACAACCCTCGCACCAAAATTCATCGCCTTCTGCACACGGTGAAGGTGGCATGCAGCGGCGCCACCCCAGACAGAGAGGCAGTACAGGATGTGAGGAAAGGTATGACACTGGATAAGGAGCTTAAGGATGTCGGGACTAAGATGATGGCGAATTTTATACAGACATATAAGGATGGAATTGCACTTTTTGACAACGTTGGAGATGTGCTTTTCCCAGGATAAGGTGGGGTCTAGGGTCACTCCCAGCATCTTCACGAATGGCGAGGGTGTTAGTAAGTAGTCTGGCAGGTTAAGGTGGAAGGATGAGGTTTTCTTAAGGTTTTGGGCAGTGCCGACAAGGATCAGAGTGGTCTTGGATGGGTTCATTTTTAAGGAGTTGGATGTGAAGTAGGAGAGGACAGCACGGAGAGTATCCTCCTGTCGGGATTTAAGGATGGATAGATCTTTAGGA